GGGTGGAGGAGGAGGGGGGAGGGGAGGAGGAGGAGGACGACGAAGGGAGGAGAAAGGGAGGAATAAGAGGAGGAGGAGGAGTGGAGGAGGAGGAGGAGAAAGAGGAGAAAGAGGAGACAGAGGAGAAAGAGGAGATGGAGGAGAAAGAGGAGAAAGAGGAGAAAGAGACCGAGAAGGAATAGGAAGAGGTGAAAGAGGAGGAGGAGGAGGAAGAGCAGGAGAAGAGCCGTTTGTCTCTTCGGGGGCGGGCCAAAGCCAGGCTTTGGGTCTCGGGTTTGTCTCTTCGGGGGCTCGGGCCGGGTCTGGGGCCAGAGCCAGGCTTCGGGCCTGGGCCAGGGCCGAGGCCAGGGCCGGGGCTGGGGCCCGGCCCCGGCATGGTGCCCGAGCTGGCCCGGGGCCTGACTGTACCCAGGCCTGGCGGGCACAGGGCCGGGGCCGGGGCTGGAGCGGGGCCGAGGCGGGAGAAAGCTCCTTTGCTGAAGACCACCCCCGTGTCCTCCTTCTCCACGGGGGGGCCGCCTGGGGTGGGGGTCACGACCCGCGGGACCTGCCCCGGGATCGCCCCCCCAGGACCGCCCCCCGGGACCCCCTTCGGGCCCCCCCCCCGCGAGCGGGAAGGGATCAAAGGGAAGGGTTCCCCGTTCCATATGTTTAGGACACTTTTCGATGTCGTAGGGGTTGGAGTCTTGGTCGGGAGCTCCACGTCCCCTCTCGCTCCGGGTGTTGGTCAGGAGCCCCAGGGAATGAGGAGGATAGCGACGACGACGACGACAGCGACGATGACATCGACGAACGGAAAAGCTTCTCACACACGGCGGCAGGGTCGGCGGATTTACCCACGTTGGGATGTCGCTGCGCAAACTCACCTTGATTCTCCTCCTCCTGGATGTTCCAGCCCGTTTCTGGTTCTCTGGAGTGCTGAATTCTGTTCGAAACCACAGTCAAGGACAGGTCCTGGGAGGGGGCGGGGGGAAGGCGAGGGCAATTTGAATCATCCCCCCAACATCCTCATCGTCCCTCTGCTTTCCTTCTCTTTGTTCTATTTCGTCGTCCTTCTGCTCCTCCTGCTCCTGCTCACCCCTCCTCCCTTGCCTCTTGGAGGCCTCTGGAAAGTCGGGATTGGAACTGGTTTCTCCTCTCGTTATTCGTCCTTCCTTCCCACGCCTGTTTGCATTTTCCCCCGTATTTCTCCGCCCTCCCTCCCCTCTCCCTCTCCTTTTCCCTCCTCCCCTCCGTGACCATTTCTATTCAAGACTGTGTTCGTGAGGGCAACAAGGTCCACGGCAGGACTGGACACCGCTAATCCGTGGCAGACCCCGAGTTTGCCTCGTTCAACATGCGCGAATGCTGGGACACAGCTGCAATCGCACCTGATCCGCATGGGTTTCCTGCTGTTCCCCAGGGCCGTAATTGCAGCATGACCTGCAGGTACATGGTCTGCGGAGGGTACGGGAAGTGGGATTACAAGGACAAGGGACAAGGCGCGCAAACAGCATGGTTGGTGCATCTACGGCTGCTGGCTGCGCGCCCCGAAGAAACCGAAGGCCAATGGCTGTGCCTGGCAGACAGGGGCGACACGCAGGACACGGACCTGTGGCCAAGTAGGGGGCCGAGTCTTCCTGAGGTAAAGTAGGACCAGGGCACAGAAGCTGTGCTCGCCGTCCAGGCCAAGATCACCCTGGATATGGCGAAGAAGATCGCGGACCTGGCAAAGAGGCACTAGCCGCCGAAGCCTCCGCCGCCTCAGACGACGCACGGCAGGCCCCCACCCAGGCGAATCACCCCCAGCAGCGGCAGCACGAAACCCTATGGCCCGCGCCGCAAAGGGGCTGCCTAGCTTCACGAAGCTCCAGGACGAGGCCGAGCACCGTCGCACGCAGGGGCTGGAGGAGGCCTTCGACGAGTCCACTTGGCGGAGGCGGGCTCGGAGCCTTATCTGGGCATCTTCAGATCGGCCATCCAGCGCCAGCCGCGGCAACGGGCGGCACGGAGCCAGCGCGCGCCGGGGCGCGGGACGGACGGTGGCCTCAACGCAGCGGCAACGAACGGCGGCGGGCGGAGCAGGACAAGCCGACGGAAGCAGGGATCCGCCCGTGCGGACATGGACCTCAGTGCGTTCGGCTGCGCACCGACCGCCGCCGAGGCCAGGGTGGCGCACGGCCGCGTGATGGCCGCGCTTAGGTAGTTTTCGCACACTGTCCTTCCCCTGACTCGGTGTGCCTCCTGTGTCGGCATTGTCTCAGCATGGCTCTCTGGTGGTCGCGCTCTGCACCACGCGCGGAGCCCTGAGACATGCACAGTGGTCTCTGGCGTTTATCGGCGAACACTGCGGGCTACCCAGAGCGCCCGAAGACGGAGCACTTGGCGCTGCGCGCTTTGGCAGGTACCAGCGCTGAGCTTGCCTCGCAGCTTCGCGGTCCTCGCCGCCGCTCGCTTCTCCACGGCTGCCATCCGTGGCACGCGAACAGATACCCCGCTTTGGGAAAGGCAGCCAGTGCGATCCCCCCGAAGGAGGGGTAGCGACGATGCTTGGGACGGGCGGGGAGGAAAGCATTCGGACGATCCGAGGCGCCGACGTTGTGGAGCAGCGGTGGCCCCTCCTGTATGGAGAGACGGCTGCTGACAGCTGCGATCGACGATCGCCTCGCTTGTCCTTGGCCATGCGGAGTCGGTGCCCCGATCGGGCGACATGGCCACTGCAGCGGCCCTTAAGAAAACCACGGAGGCCGTCCATGGTGCGAGAGACCACGAGGCGATCTCGCAGAAATGGAGTCGCAGGAGTCTGACGACGTCCAGCGGGGGGCTGAGGGGCAACAGGTATTTGCGACATGAAGTCCGCGTCGCTGGTTCAGGTTGATGTCGCACTTGCTGATCATCGATAGTTCGAGCCGCATCACCCGAGCGGACGGTACCCCAGAACAGAAGGGGGCCCGAAGGCGTTGCGTTTGGTCCCGCTGCGCTGAGGTCTGCAGCGGGCTTAGCGTGCGCCTTGCCAGCAGCTGCCGGGCCGATAAGTGCAAATCGGGGGCGAGGGGCACGCGGCATTGCCGAGCGAACCACGGCTGGTTGAAGGACCAGCGAGGCGGAGCGGCCTGTGGGAGTCCTCGTCCCCTGACTTGCCGTCCCCGGCCAGCGGCACGGGCCAGGGTGGTCTTGCTCTCTGCGCGGCGTGGCGGGCTGAGCACAAGAGTCCGTTTCATAGAAACCTTCTCCGTCCTTCCTCGCGCCTCCTCCTCCTCCCCGCAGGCATCCTCCCTCCCTGCCTCCCTCCGCCCCCCCCCCCTGTTTCAAAATCAGCCTTACGGGTGCGTTCTGGCCGGAACATGAGACGACGACTGTCCCCCAGATGGAACAAAAGGGCGAAATGCCCCCCCCCAAACAAGCATCATCGAGGCTCTAACCTCAAAGTTCGAGTCCCTTTTTTCCCCCAAACGGCCCATGGCACGTCGTCATGGTTTAACTGCGTTGACCCCCTGAGGTCAAGACCTCTGCCCCACGACCAGTCTTTGATTTTTGGTCCCGAACTATGGTTTGACGGCCCCACGACCCCGCAAGAACCCCCAGAGGGGGAACAGTGACGAAGACATCCCGTCGTGTTTGTTATGTTGCTTTCGCGACGCGCAGGGGTTCGACCCCCATCTATCCTTCGGGCGGCCAGGGGGGCGATGATGACTGCGGGGGGTGGGCCATGATATGGCTTGAAGCTCGCTGAGGGGCAGCGAGCGCGATCTCTGTTTCTGGGGCGACGGGGGAGAGGGCAATGCTTTTGCAGGGCAAGAGCAAGCATGAGCAGCCCGATCGTCGGCAAGAGCAAACATGAAGTCAGAGCTTCTCGCGAAGGGCGGCTGTAAGGATTGCTGTTGACTGATCAAGCGCGCCCGCCGAGCGTACGGGGATCTGGCCCTGGAAACAACGTTGCGCCCCCAGCGACCTTCAAGATATGGCCCCGGAGTCCATGGCCCCTCGTTCTTCTTCCAACTCGTCACTTGGGCCTCCTGGGCCGCACACGTGCCTCGGGCCATTCTTTGCGCACCCTGCTCTTGGACGCCCCTTCCCCCTTCCCCCTTGGACGCTCCCGACACCCCCTATCTCCTTCCGCCCAGGGGGGTCAGCCCTCCGGCCGGTCGGCCGCGCCGTCCGCGGGTAAGCGAGAGGTCGAGATGGCGGGCGACGCCTTGGCTGATTGCAAGAAGGCGCGGGCTGGGGCGACGACGACGTGGACGACGACGACTGGGACGACGACGACGAGGACGACGACGAAAACGACGACGACGACGGCGACGGCGATAACGACGACGACGACAACGACCACAAGGACCACGAACACGACACGACCACGACGACCGCGACAGCGACGATGACGGCGGCGGCGGCGGAGGCGAACCTGCGGCGTAGCACGAAAGCGGTACGGTCGACGACGGCGACGACGACGACGGGGCCGCCAGGTACGGCAGGTTCGCGTCGTGTCGACGCGGCGGCGACCCCGCGGCGGGCGTTCAAGGTTGAACGCCGCCAGCGGCCCAGAATAGGCCAATATGGAACGATCTGGCGATCGTAAAGCCGCCGACCGCTCAAGGTCGAAAGCTGCACGCGGTGTCAGAAGCCAGCGCCAGGATACGCACCATGCGAACCTGCCGTAATGCAGGGCGGTCTCAACACTTCAACCACCTCAACCCCTGAGGCCGAACGGGCTCGGACGTTGAACGGTCTCCTTAGAGGGAGCCCAGGGGGAGCCACCGCGTGGCCGTCGCCGCCGTTGATACCCGCCCGTCTCCGAGTCCACCCTGGCGAGCTGCAAGCTCTTCGAGCCGCGTCCAGGCGTGGCGACGGGGACCTCCAGAAATACCCCAGCACAAACATCCGATACGACGACCACGGCTACGACGACCACGACCACGACGACGTCGCCGCTGTCGCCGTCCTCGCCCTCGCCCTCGCCGCCCTCGTCGTCGCCGCCCGCCGTCGGCGGAGCGGCCTGGCGGCCCCCGCCCATGGGGCGGCCGCGAGGTCGGCGTCCGCAACATCGTGGCGCTGCGGGGCGACCCGCCCCGCGGCCAGGAGCCTTCTTGCCTACCGCGGGCCGGCGCCGCCGCCGGTCGGTATCGTCCAGCCGGTCTCCGTCCCCTCTGAGGCCACGGTAGCCGCAGGAGGTCGTTGGTCCTGCCCCCCCCCGAAAGCTTTCGGCTGGCAACAAGCTCTGCGCGTACCCGGGTTCGCCCTGTCCTGTGAGTAGGAGTGGTAGCAGGACGACGACGGCGATGACAACGACGACGACGGCGGTGGCGGCGGAATGATTGTTCGCTGATTACTTCGGGGTGCCGGTAGCCCTCAATTCAGGCCCCCGACACAAATTTCTTCGCTGGTGGGAGATAGTCATACCTTCTCAGTTTGATTTGGCATCGCTTGGACGTGTTTTTCCCAACCATCCTGTGGTGTTGGGTCCTCGTTTTGAAGAGACGGTGCCCCGCGTCGCCTCTCCTCTCCTCTCCTCTCCTCTCCTCTCCTCTCCTCTCCTCTCCTCTCCTCTCCTCTCCTTCCTCCTCCTCCGCCTCCTCCCCCCTCCCTCCTCCCTCCTCCCACTATCACGGCACACCCCTCACGCGTTTCGTGGCCCCATAGGGAGCTCCACCGAAGGCCCCAGTGGCTGCGTTCGCATGGCGGCGCCGCACCCATTTGGCACACCCCTCACACGTTTCGTGGCCCCATAGGGAGCTCCACCGAAGGCCCCAGTGGCTGCGTTCGCATGGCGGCGCCGCACCCAATTTGGCACACCCCTCACACGTTTCGTGGCCCCATAGGGAGCTCCACCGAAGGCCCCAGTGGCTGCGTTCGCATGGCGGCGCAGCACCCATTTGGCACACCCCTCACACGTTTCGTGGCCCCATAGGGAGCTCCACCGAAGGCCCCAATGGCTGCGTTCGCATGGCGGCGCCGCACCCATTTCGGCACACCCCTCACACGTTTCGTGGCCCCACAGGGAGTTCCACCGAGGGCCCCAGCGGCTGCGTTCGCATGGCGGCGCCGCGCCCAATTTGGTACACCCCTCACACGTCTCGTTGCCCCATAGGGAGCTCCACCGAAGGCCCCAATGGCTGCGTTCGCATGGCGGCGCCGCACCCAATTTGGCACACACCCCTCACACGCTTCGTGGCCCCATATGGAGCTCCACCGAAGGCCCCAGTGGCTGCGATCGCATGGCGGCGCCGCACCCAATTTGGCACACCCCTCACACGTTTCGTGGCCCCATAGGGAGCTCCACCGAAGGCCCCAGTGGCTGCGTTCGCATGGCGGCGCCGCACCCAATTTGGCACACCCCTCACACGTTTCGTGGCCCCATAGGGAGCTCCACCGAAGGCCCCAGTGGCTGCGTTCGCATGGCGGCGCCGCACCCAATTTGGCACACCCCTCCACCGAACAGTGGCTGCGTTTCGTGGCCCCATGGGGAGCTCCACCGACGGCCCCAGTGGCTGCGTTCGCATGGCGGCGCCGCACCCATTTTGGCACACCCCTCACACGTTTCGTGGCCCCATAAGGAGCTCCACCGAAGGCCCCAGTGGCTGCGTTCGCATGGCGGCGCCGCACCCAAGTTGGCACAACCCTCACACGTTTCGTGGCCCCATATGGAGCTCCACCGAAGGCTTCAGTGGCTGCGTTCGCATGGCGGCGCCGCACCCAATTTGGCACACCCCTCACACGTTTCGTGGCCCCATAGGGAGCTCCACCGAAAACCCCATTGGCTGCGTTGGCATGGCGGCGCCGCGCCCAATTTGGCACACCCCTCACACGTTTCGTGGCCCCATACGGAGCTCCACCGAAGGCCCCAGTGGCTGCGTTGGCATGGCGGCGCCGCACCCACTTCGGCACACCCCTCACATGTTTCGTGGCCCCATGGGGAGCTCCACCGAAGGCCCCAGTGCTACCGCCCTCATGCGCCCCGTACGCCCAGGACAGCGTTTCGTGGCACGCCTTTCGTGGCCCCATAAGGAGCCCCACCGAAAGCGGCACCCACAAAGCGTTGTTCACAATTGCATATGGTTGGGTCCTTCGCCCGGAGAATTTTTAACGCAGTATGGCCAGATAATCTGGACCATCGATGGGGCATTCTTGATCATCTTGCAGAAACAAGAGATCGAAACCGAAAGATGTACGCGCAATGGACGTCCGAGCGATGGCAAGGACCGTGTCTCAGCCCCACCATCCTACCACCCCCCCAATCGGGGATAGGCCACGCGAAACCCAGAGGAAACAGCACTATCCGTAAGGGGTTCGCCTCCTGCCGCTCCCTCGGATAATGGACAATGCACTAGCGAAATCATGAGGCCTTGGCGCCGCCGTGCAGCAGCGTCAGGACTTCACGTTGCGATTATGATGAGATTGTCGAATTCGGTGTTGTATTTCGAGCTTGCTCGCGCATGCTGTGCAAAAAGGCTTTTCTACGAAGTCTTAAAATGTTGCAATTCCCATGGTTTTCCCAACCATCCTGTTGTGTTAGGTCCTCGTTTTGAAGAGACGGTGCCCCGCGTCTCCTCTCCTCCGTTCCTTCCACCCGCTGCCCCCCCCTCGCCACCGCACCCAAATTGGCACACCCCTCACACGTTTCGTTGTCCCATGGGGAGCTCCACCGAAGGCCCCAGCGGTTGCGTTCGCATGGCGGCGCCGCACCCAATTTGGCACACCCCTCGCACGTTTCGTGGCCCCATAGGGAGCTCCACCGAAGGCCCCAGTGGTTGCGCTCGCATGGCGGCGCCGCACCCAATTTGGCACACCGCTCACACGTTTCGTGGCCCCATAGGGAGTTCCACCGAAGGCCCCAGTGGCTGCGTTCGCATGGCGGCGCCGCACCCAAATCGGCACACCCCTCACACGCTTCGTGGCCCCATAGGGAGCTCCACCGAAGGCCCCAGTGGCTGCGTTCGCATGGCGGCGCCGCACCCAATGTGGCACACCCTTCACACGCTTCGTGGCCCCATGGGGAGAGGTCCACCGAAGGCCCCAGTGGCTGCGTTCGCATGGCGGCGCCGCACCCATTTCGGCACACCCCTCACACGCTTCGTGGCCCCACAGGGAGCTCCACCGAAGGCCCCACGCATGGCGGCGCCGTCGGCACACCCCTCACACGCATCCACCGAAGGCCCCAGTGGTTGCGTTCGCATGGCGGCGCCGAACCCATTTCGGCACACCCCTCACACGTTTCGTGGCCCCATAGGGAGCTCCACCGAAGGCCCCAGTGGTTGCGTTCGCATGGCGGCGCCGCACCCATGTCGGCACACCCCTCACACGCTTCGTGGCCCCATAGGGAGCTCCACCGAAGGCCCCAGTGGCTGCGTTCGCATGGCGGCGCCGCACCCATTTCGGCACACCCCTCACACGTTTCGTGGCCCCATAGGGAGCTCCACCGAAGGCCCCAGTGGCTGCGTTGGCATGGCGGCGCCGCACCCATTTCGGCACACCCCTCACACGTTTCGTGGCCCCATAGGGAGCTCCACCGAAGGCCCCAGTGCTACCGCCCTCATGCGTCCCGCACGCCCAGGACAGCGTTTCGTGGCACGCCTTTCGTGGCTCCATAGGGAGCCCCACCGAAAGCGGCACCCACAAAGCGTCATTCACAATTGCATATGGTTGAGTCTTTCGCGAGGATAATTTTTGACCCTGACCCCACCGATCTGCGTGAGGGGTGCCACCGAATTTCAAGACATGTGGCAAATCCCATGTGTTTTTCGAACCTGACCCCGCCGATCTGCGTGAGGAGTGCTACCGGATTTCCGAAATGTGGCGCATCCTTTGTGTTTTTGGACCTTGACCCCACCGATCTGCGTGAGGGGGGCCACCGAATTTCAAGACATGTGACAAATCCCATGTGTTTTTCGAACCTGACCCCGCCGATCTGCATGAGGAGTGCTACCGGATTTCAGAAACGTGGCAAATCCTTGATGTTTTTAGATTCGGACCCCACCGATTTGCGTGAGGGGTGCCACCGAATTTCAAGACATGTGGCAAATCCCATGTGCTTTTCGAACCTGACCCCGCCGATCTGCATAAGGAGTGCTACCCGGATTTCAGGAATGTGGCACATCCTTTGTGTTTTTGGACCCTGACCCCACCAATCTGCGTGAGGGGGGCCACCGAATTTCAAGACATGTGACAAATCCATTGTTTTTCAACCCCGACCCGGCCGATCTGCAAGGGGGGTGTCACCAAATTTCAAGACATGTGGCAAATCGCTTGTGTTTCGTCCCTGACCCCGTCGATCTGCGTGAGGGGTGACAGAATTTAAAACATGTGGCAAATCCCATTGGTTTTTCGACTCTGACCTCGCCGATCTGCGTGAGGGGTGCTACCGATTTTGAGACATGTGTCACATCCATTGTGTTTTCCGACCCTGACCCCGCCGATCTGTGTTCTCAGACCGTGACCCCGCCGATCTGCGTGAGAGGCGCCGCCGAAATTCAGGAATGTAGCAAATCCCATGTGTTCTTAGGCCCTGACCCTGCTCATCTGCGTGAGAGGCGCCGCCGAATTGCAGAAATGTAGCAATCCTATGTGCTTGTAGGCCCTAACCCTGCTTATCTGCGTGAGAGGTACCACCGAATTGCAGAAATGTAGCAATCCTATGTGTTTTTGGGCCCTGGCCCCGCCGATCTGCGTGAGGGGCGCTACCGAATTGCAGAAATGTGGCAAATCCCATGTGTTTTTGGACCCTGACCTCGCCGATCTGTGTGAGGGGTGGCAATTTCGACCCCCCAGATATTCTCAGACCCCTCCCGGGAGGTGCTAACCAGGGCGTTTTCGGCTCCCCCCCTCGCGCGGTCTACAGCAAGGAACAGTACGCAACAAGAAGCAGAACTGCAACTGGAAACTGGAAGCTGGAACTGGCGCAGCGAACAGCAAACCCTGAGCCTACAGCCTGGCGGCCCCACAAGGGGGCCGGCGGATTAGATCCCAATTTAGAGGGGGTAAATCGGCCAGTGGGGCCAAGGCCATCCCAGTGGGTGTAGGGATCAGTGGAACGATGCTCATCCGCCGACCGAGGGCTGCCGTCGCGGCGGGAGCTCGGAGAT